GTTGAATTCACAAATTGATATTGCTAATCGATAATATCTGGAACATGTCAAATCCTCTTTTGAAGTAAAGTTCAATGTCTGAATAAATTTGAAGGTTGAAATGATGAATATCTAAAATCAAACTAGTTATCTGGCTGTAACTGTTTAAAAGATATGTGTAAAAGCGTAATATTGAAATTCAACTAAAAGTTAAAGATAATATTCGCTTTCCGAACTTTTTAAAGCTCTTTAGCTTCGTACTTTATTTGGCTTTCCAACTGTTTGAATTCGAGCGCCAATAAAGAGTCGTATATAGCAGAAACGCGCGTCTGGTGTATTAGTAGTATATATAAGCCTGGTATATTTAATTATCTTTTATTAAAGAGAAGATTATGTTGTAACAACAGAAAAGGGTATATGTCTATATTAGTTCTTCAGAATCCTGATGTGTGTCTTTCGAGTAATAATGTGAATTGATTGTTCTAGTACGTGTCTCTTTAAATGATATAAATTAAGATACAAGTCATGTGTGCTAAGTTTAATTTTAATTACTTTCTTTCGACAACGTAATGCACGGTTTCCCAAATTAGCACAGATATTTAGTTTTTAAGATCTATATATTTTTTTTAATATCGAAAAACAAGATGGTTATCCTAATAGGCTGCACTTCTGTAAATATAGACACTAAATTTCCCATTGGAACTTCTTTTACGACCAAAACTATCCAACTTTAACTATGAAGTTTCATAACAAGTCAAACCCTGGAAAGGAAAGTTCACATGCACTTTTTTTTTCAATCATTTGCCTCGAACTACTTTGAGTTTATGCTTGTATTTAAATTCTATTTTAATCCTCTCTTAACTTTGAGTCTTTCTTATAATTAAATTTGACTGCTATCCAACTATATTTTTACTGGTAACATTCTCAAGTTGTGTCTCGATGAGATTTATCTGGGAACCGGTTGGTAAACAATCTATGAATATCATGTTTTTCCCCAGAAGTGACGAGGTTTGTGAATCAGCTAAATTTACAAATTGCAACCTATACATATAAAACTGTAACTTTGTAATGGTGAAAAAGACGAATATTGAAAGTCTGAATGAGTGTTATTATGCAAATGGTATCACCTAAACGCCAATAAATCTTTAAATGGATATACGTTTTATGAGGTTTACAGTACAAAATTCCCGTAATGAGATTCAAATTGATTGTATGCTGTTAAAAAAGTAAAATAACAAAAAATATCAAACTTCAAGGAAAATTCAAAACGAAAAGTCCCTTACGAAATGGCAAAATCAAAAGCTCAAACACATCAAACGAATGGAAAACAACTGTCATATTCCTGACTTGGTACAGGCATTTCCTTGTGTAAAAAATGGTGGATTAAACCTGGTTTTATAGCTAGCTTAATATCTCACTTGTATGACAGTCGCATAGAATTCCATTATATTGACAACAATGTGTGACAAACAGACATAACAGGTAAAAATGTCAAAAATTTGGGTACAGCAGTCAACATTGTGTTATAATTTTAATCACTAAAAAAAGAAACAACTATGTAAACAAAGAAAAACAAAATGGCATATAGACACTCTATAGCCAAAGCACATAAGCAAAAATGAAAGACAAGAAATGGAATTTGTTTTGCAATCATTACTTGTCGTAACTTGACGTTCATAATGATCTAGATTATGTAGAATACATAGCTTATGTAACTTATCGGTACGGTTAATTGTTGTTTGTAATCATACATTGTCGTTACTTGATGTTCATGATGAGTTTAGAATATATTGAATTCATAGTATGTCATTGCTGATGGTTACAGGGAATTATTGTGTTTGCATGCAGTACTAAGAATCTACATTTTTTTTAAATTTCGAAATAATTTCAAATTAATGAATGTATCTTCCTCATGCAAAGCTCTGATTCCTTGTCCTGACTGGCTTTTTTGTTTTACTTGTATTATGTTTTGGACTTTCAAAAGATGTCAATTTAACATTTGTGAATATTCACGTATATATATATATATACTTGGATACAATAAACATACAACATATCCTTTTAGAATTCAAACATTATGTTCTTCTTAAGGACCATGTCATGCTTCTTTTGGCGCTGATGCAATTCCATAAGTTCTTGTGTTTTACCTTGACTTGTATCTTTTTAATTGATGTATGAGTTTTGAACATCAATAAACTACTGTTGCCTCTAATTTAATGTATACAGAGTAAGGTTGCAATACAAAAGCAACATTGAATATACAATCTTTGTAAGTCAGAATCTGCATTGGGACTTCAAAACCCTGAAAAAGTATGCAAGTATACCATTTCAGTCTTTCATGGCCCGGTCTACGAATAGTGTACTTTATCAGTTTTAAAAGAACATTGTGAAATATTGATGAAAACTTTGATGTTGTACGAAACGATAGACCTCAATAATCATTTTCTTACAAACTCATCATGACACTTATGAAGAAATGAATCGAAAGTAAAGACAATTAAATCTTTTCTTATTAAAAGTATCAATTTCAGTTTTTATAATGGTTTTATTTAGTGAAAAGAATGTTAACATGCGTTTTATAAATAATATTTTTTTAAACTAATTTATAATTTCTTACGAATAGAAGCTTGATGTATCGTGTAAACTATACAAGGTTGTATAATTAAGCTAACATGCGCGGATTTAAAACAAAATGATTAAACAAGTCTTTGATTTATTCTCCTTAACGAATGAACATTATGTTTTGTACACTTTGAACGATAAAATATAACTGAAGAGATGAATGGACATATGTCTAACAGATATGACATAAACAAAAATCTATTACTGTGACTTGACAATAACTGTTGCTCTCCACCAATCGCAATTCATTCAAAATTCTGACCAAATTGCAATTATCAAATCAAACTGTTCAACTGATCAGAAACTGCTGTAAAACACTACAGTCATGTCGTGGAAGTGCAAGGTGATAAAATAAAGCATACTTACAATCCTATTAGACTTTAATTCTATTTCATTGATATTTTGAAAATGACGATAGGAATTTCTATAATATTCTTTTATTGTAATTGTCATTCGAAAGGTGATAGGTAGTTATTTTTGAATTGCTAAATAAATGTCTAAAATAAGCTTTCATACAATTTTTCTTTTAAAAGATCTTCTTATTCATAAGAATAAGACATCAGTCTGAATAAAACTATATTATATTCAGTAAAATATATGTGAAATTACAATACATTGTTCATAAGTTTCCATGGGAGATAATCTAGTATCATTGATTTTTTTAAATATCTTATCTCCCTTTAAAACTCCAAGAGAACATATTTAAGCTTAAGGCATATTGTAACAGGTATTTTACAGATTATTTCAAAGAAAGCTTTGTAGCATGCATAGAAAAACACTATCATTAGAAGAAATAATTTGAAAACTTTAATTTGGAAATTTTTTTAGCAATTCAAAAATTACTACCTATCACCTTTCGAATGACAATTACAATAAACGAATGTATAGAATATCTTATCGGCATTTTCAAAGTATCAATAAAGGTGAATTAAAGTCAAATAGGATTGTAAGTATGGTTTTTTTTTTATCATCTTGCACTTTTGTGACTTGACTAGATACAGCAGTTTAATACATTTCTGACCAGTTGAACAGTTTGGTTTGATAAAACAAATTGTATTTTGGTCAGAATTTTTAATAAACTACAATAGGTGGAGAGCAACACTTACAGTCCCCTTGGGTATCTTTTGTCTCTCTTTTACAGTCAAGTCACATTATCACCTTGCACTTTCACGACTTGACTGTGCTTTTCTTTAACAATTTGTTAAAATTTCTGACCATTTGAACAGTTTGGTTTGATAAAACAAATTGCAATTTGGTCAGAATTTTGAATTAACTACAATAGGTGGAGAGCAACCCCCTACAGTCAAGTCACAGTAATGTTTCTGTTTTTCATAGAAACCCATTATCCCTTTCAAAATAACACGTAGTTTTCTGTCTTAATGCGTGATACTTTTTCTTGATAATGATAAGCAATAGATTTATCGTCAGTTTCTTTATATTGGTGAAAAAGAAGAAGCAGTAGTTTATCGAAAATCGATATTCCTAAAGAATTAAGAATATACCAAACAAGAGTGAAATAAATGAGGGAATCGAATGAATTTCAAACGGATTGAGGCCAGTTGCATCGTTTTAAAATTAATTTATGTTTAAAAAAATGCAGACAGATTTTAACGTATTTTACTTTTACAAACCTTAAAAGAATTAATACTATAGGCGTTTATTCAAAAGCCAAATCTCCTCTGAAAATCTTTTGCCATTACCCGTAAAACACAGGCCTGTCATTAGGTTTGTTCAGCTATCAGACCGTTCTTCGCTAATCTTTAGGATATATCTGTCTGCTTGACAAGACTAAAGAGTAATTAAAACACCATAATCAACAAAAAGTAAAAAGTTATTATAAGTTCCAAATCTATAAGTTTCAAATCTATTCAATGTTACTTGCAAGAAGTTCAAATATCTGAAAGTTAAAAGTTTTATCTAAACAAATCTGAATATGGGATAGGTTATATGTTACCCTGTATAAAATAGTGTTTCCTAATTATGAATTAAGTCGCAAATTGCAATTGCAAGTAGTCAAAACATATAGTTTCTTTCCATAATAAATTACACACTATTCCTTATTTTAATAATATTTTGAAACATCACAGATTTTACCTAGGGTGTTTAATTTTACGTACAGATACTGAAACAAATGAATTGCGTTTTGCTGTAAAAGTAACCTTTATGCACTAGGAAAGTAATAAACAACTAAGACAAAACCCAGCCTTTGACTAAATACTTGTTCAGCCTAATGAGGTGTAATGACATATTCCTTCGCCATTTGTTATATGAATTTTAAGAATTATTTTCTATTTGACTACCGGCAATTTTATCTCCTTCGTTATGAGATCACTCAGGTGTGACCGTATATTTATAACTGTAGATAAATCACTATAAAGTTATATATGAGAGGACGATTGGCCACAAATTAAGTCGAAAATATATATTGCGAATTGTTTAACAGGTCAAGGTATGTTTACATAATTGGTTGTATGATCGTATAAACAGTGACTTTCAGAAAGGTAAAAATCAACAATTTGTCTAAAATTAACTATTTTTCATGATTCTTCTGTTTATATATTTTTACACATGTTTTATGTGATGCAAATAACAAGTCGAAGACCTAAATGTAATGTTTCTGGTCATCGCAAAGTAATGAGTTCGGTCATTGCAAGTTTTAAGGGAAGAAATATATTCCAACATAATTACTAATTTGTCGATTTATTTAGGTAAACTGTTTTTGACATCAAAAGCATGAAAACAGTAAAATAAAATATCTTAATTTATAGTAGAATATATGTCATCATTTTATAAATCCACGGAAATAATAAAAAAAAACATTCTGTGACGTACATAAACGAAGAAAATAAATACCGCACCATTAGTGCGCTAACAGTAATGGTTTTAGCATAATATTTCATTTCATTTGATAAAAATTGGAAAATAATAATTCTTAAAACTGTACAATTTTAAAATGGTTTTTATGAGACAATTAAACATATTAATGAGATTTTAGCTACACAAAAACAGGGGCTAGAAACGTTTGACTAATTGTACAAACACTAATTTTTTATTGATCAGTGCAATCTTATATAAGTTATGCTATCTGTTTATGCTGTTCTTTTGTATGAAATTATATTGTTATAAATTAAAATGACCCTTTGAATTTACTGCGTCAGTAGCGCTCAAACCCTTAAACTTTCAAGCCATGTATGTATATAAATGTAACTTGCATTGAACATATCCTAATATCATAAAGTGTTATTTAAACAAAAACCTTTCATTAACTTTCACCATGATAATTTAACAGTGGATAAAAGGGAAAGAATATAGCCAGGAAACAATTTAAAAACAAACGTAGACAAAGACATGAACAAACATGACAAAAAGAAATGCATAGACAAATAAAAGCCCGCAAAATTCTACACAGAAAATCATTTGTTAAAATTGTCATTTTGTATTCAAAAATTAACTGGATCAAGTCTTTTAAACAAAAGTGAAAAATGCTTAACTTTCAAAAGTCATAATTACGTAATCAAGAGTGCATATAATGAAAAAATCATGTTTTTTTTTAGATATTTCATTCACATATATTAACATTATACATTTAACATATTTCCTTCTTAAACTTATCAATCGTACTTTTGTAGAAGACTGTATACATATATTGTGTCTGTGTATATATTAACCTTATGAGACATTAGGAGATCGATTGTTTATGCATTAAATCACTTTTATGTATGAACATAATATAATATAGATGTCTCATTTCTAAAATTTGCGGGGATATAAAAGTAGGATCGACAGTTATGAAAGTATGGGTCAGTCCTTTTAGCATGGTTTTTCTATCCTATCAAAATGCCTGCAAATAAAGATTTTTTTATTGAATCATCTATTTGAAATGTTTTCTAAAAAATATAATGTCTGGTGGTTTTTTGTTTATTTTGTGGGAAGGTATGGTGAGGGAATTTGTTTGAAGCTAGAAACATATCCTTGAAAGGGCAGTACAGAAAACATAACTCCCCGTTTCTAATTGTCCAAGCTGTTCGTATGATGTTCCTCTTGTATTTGTGTCGTTTGATTATTTGCTTGTACGAATGTTCCTCGCGTTCTTTTATATTTGTGTCAGTTGGGTATTTTCAAGTGGATTTGACTCTTGTTTTGTTTTTGACAATGCTTTTATTTTGGCTTTTTATACACAGCTGGGTATTATTTTACAATTTTGTTTGCATGTGTGCGTAAAACATCAATAACCATAATCCTGTTATACTCACGAGCTCGCGTGAGAAAACGATAATTTAAGTAAGTTTTTTTCATCAGAGAATAAAAAAGGTTTGAAACAGGAGTGGTTTTTAATTTATTTGTGGATTTTTGGATAAATTTATTTGACGTTCTTTATGTTTGCTGTTTCAATCTTGCTTCCTTATCTAACATAGCAATATTCCGATTTAGATTACATACATGTATTTCAAAGCATTTTTTTAGTTTTCGTATCGACATATTATTCGTAAAGGGTGAATAAAATTATGTGATGTAAACAAAACGTTTGTTTATTTATGCATATTGTCTTGCTGCTAGACATTAATTTGCGTTTCATATCATTAACTTTCCCCATAAGTGGTACAAGTTTTGACCATTAAACATGGAATGCAATAAAAATAAATCATAACATTATTTAACTACGAAGATTTATGTAGAAAACATATTACAGTTATGTATGTAAACGGAAATGTTACTGTAATACATTTAACAGAAGACAATCAAAAATGTTCGAAATACGAATTTTTGTACTTCTTTGTGGAATATATGTAGAAATTTATATGATGTTTGCTGTTTTAATCTTTATGTATAAAACAATTAGTGAAACAAACTACCGTTTAACATGGAATGCAATAAAAATAAATAATAACTTTATTTAACTTGTAAGCCTAACGTAGAAAAACATTTTAACGTTATATATACCAATGAATGCATGTTCGAATCCCGTTGAGAGAAGAACAAAAAATCTGCTAACGCATATTTGTAGATCTAACATTGTTGTGCTAAATTTGAGAGCTATATGTATATTGCTTATTGGAAGCTGCATTTTCATGCCAATACATAATTCATTTTACATATCAGCGATTGCTCTGATCATATTAAAAATGTAAAATTAGAATACAGCAGACATATTCACAGCTAGACATATGAAAAAATCTAAAGAAAACAGTAGATATTTGTATCATATAACGATTATATGTCCGCTTGTACAAGCAAAAAAAAGTTCTCTTCAAGTTTTTAAAATTGAGTGTCAAGAACTAAATATGAATATATTTTGTGTAAACATTAGTGTAAGTATATTTCATAGATACCGATTACTTTCAACCACTTATAGCAATTGGCAAATTCCTGTACAATTGTTACATTTCAGGTTTCGCAAAAAAATAAACAGGTTAGTTGTTGGCAGTTTTGATTTAATATGTTGCTTATAAACATATACCTAACGATGTTATCATGATATATGACTCAAATAAAATATAGCTCATGGAAACGGGAGTAACCAAGACATGATCATGGTAAAATAAACAGAAAAAATTAGGGAAATAAATATTACATTGAAAATTAATTTACGTAAAACAAGCACAAATTAAAATAATAAGGATACATATGTTTTCGTATACCAGTAATCTTTTTATAATTTCGAAGTATTTCGAACTTCAGCTTATCGAAATGTGAATTTAAATGATGATTTTAGAACTAGATAAAATTGAGATTGTTTATAAAATTAAGTAAATCAGTTGGCAATCATTTTCATAAAGCTAAGATAAACCAGGAATAGAGAACAATATTTTCTTTTAAATGAGGTTGCTTTAATAGTAGGATGAGTTGAGGGACGACTACACAGGGTTTATGGTCACCATCAAGAGTATTTTTGTCTCAACTCGAAGGAGACATGTTTTCGTTGTCTTAGATATTAAGATACCAGAATAACCGTCTGATTTGTGCCTATCGATTGTGTCATATTGCCTTTTTTGACATTTTGTATTCAGTTTGTATTCTTATGATGCGTGATGCATGCATACCAGGAGAAGTAAATCATGTAGACGCATCTTTCGCCTTTTGAATTTCATGCGATTCCTTCAGTTTTTCACTTGATTTGTAAACTCAAATGGATTTCCAAGATTAAAGCATTGGTAACTACTGTTGCCTTATATTTAATTCTTTTAAAGGGGACTACAGTACGAGTTTTGCTAGCCTGAAAAGGATCGAAATGACATTCAGTCTGGGAAAGTTAGAAGATTGATCATGTTACTCAATCTTTACTTTTGTACATAGTGTTCTGTAGATTGGTTAGTTTTTTCGTCGGTTTTGGCGTTGTCAGTTTTTTCTATCGACTTATTTGAATACTCTCTTGGTATCTACCGTCTCTTTTTTTTTCGTTTTTTCTTCTTTTTTTTCTTGTGTTTAATTTGATTTGTTTTCTGTTATTGGTGTTTAATCTTAGAAATGTCGTTAAAAGTTCATCTTTGCAAAGAATTCTTTAATCAAAATATTGGTTTATTTTCATTTAAATCCAGTTACATTTATTATAAACTGTTAAATTATTTAGTAGTGAGTGGTATTTGACCTCACAAGAAGCCTTAACAAATGGTCGTTCGAAGTAAAGGTCCTATCACGTTGCAAATTAGGCAGTTGTCCATTCATTTAAAGTAATAATGATCACTACCATTAGTTGTGCGATATTTTATACATGCGTTAGTCCCTTTAATGCTCATTTCTCATAAATTGGTAGAAGTACATTGTAATCATTTTAGGTGATTCAGACTGCTTTAAGACAATGAATTATATCTATAAATAAAGAAGCTCACTTTTATATCTGATGTATTAGTGAACATCTTAATTGTAACGAAGCATAAAACTTACACTTCCTTAGAGCTAAAGAATTAACAAGTTTGTTCCTCGGTAGAATAATAGTATATCAAATATGTAAAGATGCCAATAGCACTCAATTTGCATCATCTTATTTTGTTCTAATGATTTATTATGATAATAACATTACAAAATTCATGTGAGGAAACTTTGGATGTTTAAATGTTATGAATGTAATGGTTAAAAATAATTGAAAAATGACAATGTACGTATTCGAAATATAGTATATTGACGTCACTAATGAGTCTTTTTGTAGACGAAATGAGCTTCTGACGTACAAAAGTTATAAGCCTGGTATCATTGATGAATTTATTCATTCTTGTTATTTGTGATAAAAGGAATTGCGCCAGGAAATTAAAAAAAATGTTATCAATTGACAAAGAGTGATTATTAAAAAAAGATAAGTCAAAGATCTATATGGTTGCGTGTACATGCATAATGTTATGTCGAGTCTTTAAATAAAGGTGTTATGAACTAACTGTTTCTGTATTGGCATAGATATAAATTTGAGGTTCGATGTATTGGCCCCGACACCCGAAATTGTTTTTATCAATGCTTTTA